GCACCACCGTACTATGATTCTCCCTTTTTCCCCCTCCCCAAAAACTTAAGGACAGTAAAAAATATTTTATCTTTAAGGCAATGAGGTAAAACATCACAAATCATACAGTTTTACAGAAATGTTGCAGTATAGTCCAATCACCCCAAATACGTTCATATTCATCTCTGGCAGCTCAGTCTCCACTCCAAGTACTGGCCTAAAATTTGGTGCATTCTGAAGCAACGAACAAGATGGACATCCCTGCAATTCCATGTATGATGGATTGGCAAAGGAATCTCTCTTCAACACTGATGATGGGGTGGCATCCTCCACTATACTTGAAGGTAGCAGGCTAATTTAGAAATCATTCAGTGGGACTCATGGAATACAACCGTTTCCTTTAGTACTTGGTTGCTGCATCCCTGCCACCGGAGGCTGCCTCACCTGCCTAATGCTAAGACCACCCTTGCTGGCATCTGTTCTGGCAGATGTTCAGGCCTCGGCTTTTGGACCAGCCTCCGAAGGCCAGCCTCTAGTAACTAAAAATGTTGTGTGGGGTGGCAGCCAGTCATCTTTGCTGGCATCTGTATGAAAAATTAAATGGTCTCCTGCCTTCCCTGCACATCTTTAATGCATCCACTTGGGGCCATGTGAAGTTTAACAGCCGGAGAGCAGTCTTTTTTAGCCTCAGGTCTGCTCCTGCTGCAGACAAAGGGAATTCTGCCCCTACCTCTTTGTACTCAGACTCTTATGTGATTTCTTCTCTTCACCACAGGCTGGGAGATGATAACTGGATTTTTCTAGAGGAGGCTGTAGGAATTCTAGCTTTAAGTGAGAAACAGGGAGTGTACTGCCCTGCAGATTTTGAATTGCAGATTCTGTCAGACCTAATGAGCATAGCCAAAGGTGAGAGTCATGGGATCTGCAGTCCAACAAGGTCTTCTAAGACAAGGCATCTCTTTATTTTCATTGAGCCTGAGTCTGTATCATGATCATGGCTCTATGCCAGTGGTCCCCAACCTTGGGCCTCCAGATGTTCTTGGACTTCAACTCACAGAAATCCTGGCCAGCAGAGGTAGTGGTGAAAGCTTCTGGGAGTTGTAGTCCAAGAACATCTAGAGGCCCAAGGTTGGGGACCATTGCTCTATGCAACATCTAGGGCCAGACACCATCATTATATCACTAAAGCACAAGAATGAGAAATGAAGAAGGCTGTTACCAGTAAGTCCTGCTTGTGGGATTCTCAGCAGCATTTGGTTAGCCATTAGCGAAACTAGGGCTGGAGAATGAGTGGCTCTCCAGATGTTGTTGGTCTCTAATTCCCATTAGGTCTCACTATTTGCTATGCAAAGTAGGACTGATGGTAGCCAAAGTCCCAAATCATCAGGAAGGCATCATATTCTCCAGACATGGGCTAGATTAACATTTGCTCTGATTTAGTTGAATCCTTCCTAAATTCTTTTGCACTTTCACTGTCTGTTTCCTGGAAACATCTAATTTATTTATTTGTTTAACTTGCCATGTTTTCTTTTCCACCTTTTTCTGAAAAATCAAAGATTGTTCATGATGACAGTATTATTAAAACACCTTGTGACCATGCTGAACTCTTTCAAAAACGAACAACTAATTGGCTCATATGGAAATAAAAGGCAGATGAATCCTGTGATTTGCCATCTTCTTTGTCGCATGATACCCTCAAAATTTGAAAAACACTTGTCCTTCCTAAATTCTTTTGCATTTTGTCTGTTTCCTGGAAACATCTAATTTATTTATTTGTTTAACTTGCCATGTTTTCTTTTCCACCTTTTTCTGAAAAATCAAAGATTGTTCATGATGACAGTATTATTAAAACACCTTGTGACCATGCTGAACTCTTTCAAAAACGAACAACTAATTGGCTCATATGGAAATAAAAGGCAGATGAATCCTGTGATTTGCCATCTTCTTTGTCGCATGATACCCTCAAAATTTGAAAAACACTTGATTTCCTTGGAAATTTGTTTATAGAAGTGTGTTTGACTAAGAAATGTGCAATTTCCTCTATATTTCCCTGCTTTGTAGAATTTATTGTCTATGTTTATGGAAGACTTCCCAGTCTAATGATGTATACCAAACAGGAAGGAGCTCATGTTGGGGCTCAAACATTTCCTTCTTACTTATGAACATTTCCCCCTGTCCCTCAGTCTTTTCTTCATATTATCCTTTTGAGGGTTGAAAGGTAGAATGTAAGTAATTTTACAAACAAATACATCATTGTAAAACAGTGTTATGCAAGGTTTGGATCATTGCATCAGTGTCCTGCCATTTTACTTTGCTTTTTTTTAACTTGCAGAGAAACGGGACCTCAGTAACGTTGTTGAAGGCTAACAGATGGAATAAAATCTAGCTCTAACTGCTTTCAGCTTGCATCTATTAGAGCATGGCCCCAATAAACACTGAGTTGGGTGTGCTAAATCTAATGATTTCAATGAGTTTAGATATATTTGAAGACAAAGCTAATATTCTTTCCATTGGCATTGTGGACTTGTGTCACACCCTTCTCTCTGCTTCTGGTGTTGAAACTCACTTTGTTTTCACACTTGACTATTTAGGTAATGGTCTCTTTAAATCACTGCAGGAATAAATGTGTTATCTTTAATAATTTTACTTATTTCCTCTCTTTTTCTTCTGCTATCACAACTCTTAACTGCACTTGTATACTCATTTGCCTGCTTTGTTCATAACTAGCCCTCAGGTATTGAACTCAGCACCACTCAGCTTGAATAAAAACCAACTCTTAACTGCACTTATGTATACTGATTTGCCTACTTTGTTCATAACTAGCCCTCAGGTATTGAACTCAGCACCATTCAGCTTGAATAAAAACTAATGGGGTCTTATTAAAATAAAAGTGTTAAAACATCACTTTTCTTTCCTAGACGTTAAATTCATTTAGCTAATATTGTTCCCTTTCACTCTCATTCTTAGAATCTAATATGCTTTAACGGACAACCTAGATCAGTGATGGCGAACCTATGGTATGCGTGCCACAGTTGGCATGCAGCGAACCTTTTGAAATGGCTGCAGCTGGGATTCCCCCTTTCTCTTCCTGTTCTGGGTCCTTTAACTTCCTGTCCATCCCCATGATTCCCCCTTTAACTTCCTGTCCGTCCCATGATTCCCCCTGAAACTGCCACTTCCTGTTCCGGTTCTGCTTTTCCGGGCGGCACAGCAGCCACTGGCTTCTTCCCCAACCCCTCATTTTGGGCACTCAAGCCGAAAAAGGTTTGCCTCCATTGACCTAGACTGATTTCCCCCCAGACTCCAAAAACCACCCTCTCCCTGCTCACCCTACACCAGACTGCTCCTAAAAACCTAATGGACATTCCCCTCCCCTAATTTCTCCCAGCCAATCAGAACCACTCTTATCAGTATGTGATCCTCACTCAGCCCCTCCCATTACATACTTACCAAGCCACATAAACAATACATTTAAACATAGCTGAACATAACTCCTTGATCTAAGTGACCTCACCAATGTGCAACTGCTCTCTCTCTCTTTCTCAAATCTGTGTTTGTGTGTGTATAAAAATCCTATGGAAAATCAGTGATCATATGCATCTGTGTTGGATTGCAGACAGGGGAAAAAAAAGAACCCTATCTGGTGTTTTTGGTTTGACACAAAAAGGACTGAGCTAAGAGATTGTTTTTCCATTCTCTTGTCTTCTTCAACATGGTGAACTTCAGTTGCTTCCAAGATCCGGTACTTGCAAGAATACCATAATCGTGTCCTTCACAACATTTATCCTGTCCCCTCTGGAACTGACATTGCAAACACACTGAAATACTTTTCTCAAACATTACTAAGGTAAGCATTAAATTATGCTGTCAAAAAAAGAGAAAAGAAATGTATTTATATGAATAAGTCAGTTAAGCAATGCGTTTGAATAGCTTGTCAATAAATGGAATGGGGTTCTGCAAAGAGTCCATCAAACTATAGCATATGGAATTCATAAGTAACTTCAGCAGTGTTTGTTCAGACTGGGTCTATATGTGCAGTCAAATGAGGTTATGGATTGTACCACTTCAGGCTATAGGTAGGACATAGCTTGTTTGGTAGCTAGCTCCCTGCAAATAGAAAACTGGCCAGTAACGGTCAAAGATTGCATTGCAACTCTTTGCCTGCTGTGTTCATTTTCTGTTTGCATGAAGTTCTAGGAGATTACCTACATGCAGTTGGAAATGGTTCAGTCCACCTTGAGTCCTCCAGCCATTGCTTCTGCTGCCTGGTGTAAGAGCCAGCCTCTGAACTGTTTGATGTCCAGTGACCAGTTCCAGATCAAAACTCAGTTTGTTATCCTCAGCCTTAGGAACTGCTGGACTCTTGCAGGTCTTATAAGCAACACAAATTCCCAAAATTAGGACGAGAGCATCAAAATTAGAATAATTTCTTGCATGTTTGCTCAGTCTTTTTATAGCTGAAGTTTCCATTTGGTTCATTGTGCTGTTATAAATTAGTCCATGAAAGGTAACAGTCTCAGTCTTGATATAGTTGATTTGTGTATCTCATTATTGACTAGTTATGTGTTTTTAGAAATGAAATCAACATTCAGAACCTATCTGAAATCTGTTTTGGATTGAAGATTTGATTTAGTCCCATCTATAGAGTAATGTCCGTTAAGCAAGAAGCTTGATTGATGTACAGCAGTAGGGTTAGCTAAGTACTGTATTTCCATAGATAGTTTCAAGAACTCAAATAGTCATGACAATCCAACCATCTTCCTCCCTTTAGGAATAATAATGGAGATTTACTTAGCTTGTCAGGGATTTTCTACATGTTCCTGCTCCAGCGCTTTAAACAAGAGCTGGTCCTGCTGGAATTAGCATGCAACCATGCTTATAGTCACACTGATTGCTGCAGACAATGAAGGCTAAATGTGCAGGAACAGGAGGAGCTGTCTTTTGAGACAGTTGACAAACCAGCCTCTCTCCATTTCCTGACTGTGCTCATTAGAGAGGACTAACATGCTGCCATAGAAGACTAAATAAAGTGTGCCTAATCATTCCAAGAACTTGGAGAAATTACTTTTTGAGGGATACTCTTTTTTTACTTTTGGGGGGAGTTGTAATCCAAAAAGTAACTTTTCAAAGCACCGATGTTTTCTCTTTTGCTGATCATGGAGATTGCTTATGGCTATGAGTACAACATCTAGAACAGGGCTGTGTTACTAGTGGCCCTTCAGATGCTGTTAGACTGTAATTCCCATCTGCCGTACCCTACATAACTAATTATGAGTTTTCATAGGAGCTGTAGTTCACAATATGTTGCAGTCCACAGGTTTCCACTCCCTGATCTAGGGGAGGATTCACTATTCTAAATATTTATTTATTACTTATTTATATAAAATATGTATACCCTGCATTTCTCCTCTGTGGATACAGAACAGAGTGTTAACATTTCTGTTCTGCGTTGTATTATTTATTTATTTGGTCTTCAACCATAATAAAGTAATAAAATAAAGTTTCAGAACAGAGTGTTAATATGTAGTGCTGGATAGCTCAGTGGTTTAGGTATCTGGCCAGAGGCTGAGAATTTGATTCCCCATTATGCCTCCTTGATAGGTCTGGACTTGATGATCCATTGGGTCCCTTCCACTGTACAGTTCTAAGACCATAATACAGCGGTGCCTCGCTTAGCGATCGCTTATAATACAGTGGTGCCTTGCTTTGTTGAGCGACGAAATCGCTTAGTGATGGTCCCTATGGGGAAAATTCGCTTTTCGATGATCACGGGGAAGCGATCATTGCAAAGCCCCCATTTTCGGCCAGCTGATCGGTGGTTTCCAAATGGCTACTGGGTAAACAAAATGGCCGCCCACTGTGTGTCCTTGCTTTAGAGGCACCGAAAATGGCCGCCCCTATGGAGGATTTTCGCTTAAGGTTAGTTTTGAAGCGGATAGGAACACATTAATGGCGTTTTAATGCGAGCATAGGAACACATTAATGACGTTTTAATGCATTTCTATGGGCTTTTTAATTCCATTTAGCGATGAAATCGCTTAGCAACATTTTTTCCTGCACTAAGCGAGGCACCACTGTATATAAAGTCACAGAAAGGTTACATGGTGGTCAATGATTTGACCATGATTATAAATTATTTTTAGATTTTCCAGAGGTGAGAAAAGTTACCTTTTTGAATGACAATTTCCAGAACACTCCATTTAGTATAGCCGCTGGTCATGCTGCTGTTGAAATATGAGGACTGTAGCAAAATAATAACTTTTCCCATCTCTACATTTTCTCTACTGATATATGTTAGTAAACCACACTTTTGCATGGCACTTCTTGACTGAGTAACTTTCCCCATCTCTACATTTTCTCTACTGCTGTGATATATGTTAGTAAGCCACACTTTTGCATGGCACTTCTTGACTGACTCTTGCATAAATATGCGCTAGAAAAATTAGAAGTACTACTGAATAACAGAAATATGAAGCTTAACTGGTCAATTAACTCATCAAACTTGCTACCCTAGGAAAAGAGTGTCTGTCTCTAAAGTAGATCCAACATTTTGTTAAAACATCCAAGGAAGAAAGTGTTCTCTCCCTCTGCCTATTGTTTGTGCTACTGAATGCCTAGAGTTCCCCCTAAAAATCCTGTACATTTCTTGGCTTAATGCTCATTTATAATTTCTGACAATTCCCAAGTTTCCTTTGGAAACTGGCATTGACTAGAAGATTTTTCTAAAGGGTAAACCCTAAACAATAATGAAACATGGCTGCTTTCATACATTGTTCTGGTAGTTTGGAAGCCATTCTGATCTGGTTATTTCCAATGGTGCTATGAGTAGTAATATGAAAATCTGGTTGTATGGGTGGAGCTAGCACCCTGGCTCCTCCCATAACCCTTTCTCTCCTGCAGGATCTGGACTTCTAGCTCCTTCTCCTAGACCTGGAGGTTCCCATGACATTTTTGCTGTGTGAGAAGGTCCTTTGCTGTAATGGATTCCATGGAGAATTTAGAAAAGTTACTTTTTAAGATCACAACTCCCAGAATTTCCCGTCAGCATGACCTTAGCTGGGGGATTCTGGGTACTGTAGTCTGAAAAAGCAACTTTATCAAGCTCTACTTATTTGGTATTGGCATAATGTTAAAACAAGAGAGTCTATATTCAAGTACTGTTACCTCTTATATACCAGTGAGCTGATGCTTAAACCCTATACTCAGATAGGCTCACTTTTATCTAAAACAGTCAAACGGCAATCCTTGACTAGAACAATCCAGTGCTTAGGATGCATTAGGAACATAAAGCAGCACTCCCAAACCAGCATGTGTGAAGGCAACCCCATGGAATGTAAGAAAGTTGCATTTTGCCTATTGGAATGAATGAAAGTTATGTAGAAATGCCACGTGGTCTCCTAGATCTAAACATCTTGGGCATCATGAAGTCCCTGGAGCCATTTTTGTATCTTCAGCCTCCTCCACCACAAACTGTGTGGCAAACATTTTGTAGCACACTGAACCAAAAAATAAATAAATAGGTGACCCTTTCAAACAAGCCTTTTCTCCCTGACTGAAACAACTTTTTGCACATTGCTATCATGGGTAGAGCGGGGATGGGCTGCCCCCCATGGTGGGTTCTTGCCCTGGGATGTGTTGAAGTTGTCCACCCCAGCCTCCTCCACCACAAACTGTGTGGCAAACATTTTGTAGCACACTGAACCAAAAAATAAATAAATAGGTGACCCTTTCAAACAAGCCTTTTCTCCCTGACTGAAACAACTTTTTGCACATTGCTATCATGGGTAGAGCGGGGATGGGCTGCCCCCCATGGTGGGTTCTTGCCCTGGGATGTGTTGAAGTTGTCCACCCTTGAGTGAAAAACAGGTCTTTTCTGCCTGACTGAAACAACGTTTTGCACATTGCTATCATGGGTAGAGCAGGGATGGGCTGCACCCCATGGTGGGTTCTGGCCCTGGGATGTGTTGAAGTTGTCCACCCTTGAGTGAAAGAGTAGTTGTGGGGCAGGGTTTGGCATGTGTGTGTCTCACCTTATTTCAGTGAATCCAGGCTAGGAGAAGTATCTGATGAGTTGCATTTTCTTAGTTCCGAATTTCGCGAATCATTCTCCTTGAATTTTTGGCAATTTAAATGATCTAAGCTGGTGTCCACCAGATGCCTGGGACCACAATTTGCAACATCACTAGTCAGCATGAGCAATGCCGTGCTGGTTTCCAGTGATGAGAGTTGGAGTCCAACCATATTTAGAGGGTGTCCAAAGAGAGAAGTTTGCCCTCTGGCCTGAGCATGGACTTACCCCCAAACCATAACAGGATGGATGACAGTAGGACAGTATCTCAGCCCAGCAATGATACTCTTCATACAGGGAGCTCAGGTCTGAGTAATCTGGGTTAGCACCTAAAAGTCCATATCCTATTTCATTACAACCCTGAGCAACATGCTGATTTTCTTCCTGCCTCTTCCAGAAGGGTGTTTTAGGGTACTGGTGCCTGTGCATCACTGGTACGTGTTCACTGTGAAGTAAGTCCCACAGTGTTGAATAGGACTTCTTCCAAATAAACAAATATGGAATGGCTGGCCATTTTAGGGTTGTTTCTCTTATTTATAAAGCTCTAGATTTGATGGGTGAGGAAGAAATGAGTTTCCAGATGTAGTTGGACTCCAGTTCCCATTATTCTTGACCATTGCCAATGCTGTTTGGTTTTGATAGACCTTGGATACCAGCAACATCTGGAGGACAACAAATTTCCCACTCTGAGCTAGGAGTCGCTTTGAAGTTAAGACATTCGTAGGACAAGTATTACAGACATTGAGCGGGATTATAAAGGATAGGATTCTTCTCATCCA